CAAGGCCATTCTTGACACAGACCTCACATTTCAGCCCTCTTCCTTTTTACTGCACCTTATGCCCTCCACAATGATCCAGTATAGACTCAGTTCCCTACCTCATCTCCTCAATGTGGCTGAGCACCTAATTCTGTTACACTGGGATCACCCTAAGGTCCAATGCAGGGCAGACTGGATCCATTTGGTTACAGATATCATGGAATCTGAGCAATGGAATGCCACATGTATTGATAAATATGAAAAACTTTACAATATTTGAGCCACGTGGATCCACAATTGCTCTATCCACTCAGAGAGTTCAAGGGCTTAGTGGTAGATTTCTTGCCTACTGACTTGTGAGGTCAGAGGCCTGGCTGAGATTAATAGAATCCTTTTTTTCTTGAGTTGAAATTGAACACCACAGACTGTTGGTATTAATAGCCTAGCTGCTCACCCAGCTGGCCTGCTTGTTTTTGATATAGTTACTGTTATTTTATTTTTTTTGTACTATGTTCCTATCCTCACATGTGAATTCCCCTGTTTTTTTTCCCTTTCCCTTTCTTGTTTACCTTCCTGAACCTTCCCTGCCCTACTTGTTTCTTGACCTGCACATTGGTGTCCCTGCTGAAGTATAATCTCAGCACTTGTAAACAATGTCATGTATTAATTTAGAGACATTACAGTAGACCTTCACCCCCTTTCACTAAAATCCCATTAGCATACAGCACTGCATGCTAATATGAAATCATCTTACATTCATTAATTTAACAAACATTTTTCTTTTACTTACTTTTTTAATTATTGTTATTCAATTTCCTCGTCCTCTTGGGCATTAGTGATGTAATGTGCCCAAGCATTGCATCCTGGGAAGATTACATCACAGTGAATTGCTGGGAAGTCTCATCTGTAATCTTATGATATGTCAGGGAAAGACAAACCCCTTTCCTGGCCAGGTCATTTTTCAGTATTCAGCGCTGCGGTACTTTGACTGACATTTATTCCGTCATGCAACGCTGTACTGAAATCAATTTTATACCATTTTTTGGGGACAGATAGAGCTTTCTTTTGGTGGTGTTTAATCACCACTGGGTTATTTTTTTTCTGTATAACAAAAAAGTACCAAAAATTTAAAAATATACCCTTTTTCCCTTTATTATGTTATGAAACATTTAATTTGTATTATAAGGACAGGAAATTAAGGGAAATCTACCTAGTGGGACAAAGACAGCAACAAATAAGCTACTTGTGTTTTAAACCTTCCTTACTGTATGCAAAAAATGTTTTGTACTTGCAGACCAAATGTTCTAATCCTATAGACCTTAACTCACACATTAGTCTTTGAGAAACTGTGTCCGACTCTATAGCAAAGTCCACGTATGCTATATCCTAAGCCACCATTTTGTCTAAATTTATGCTTACTTCCTTTCAAAAAGAAAGGAGATTTGTTTAAAGTTTTTTTTATTTTTTTAATCCACCTTGGTTACTTGTAATACTGCTTTCTAAAAAAAAAAAAACTCTTGTATGCAGTCCTTTGTAAAACCCTCAATTATAAAAGTTAAATGAACAGGCATGTAGTTATTAGGTGAACACCTTGAACACTTTTTAAATAAAGGCACCACATTGGCCTTGTACCAATCCACTAAAGCCAATGCATTGCCTATATTAAAAACTAAGTTATTATGTCCAGCTATTTAAGAGTATCTAACAATTATACAATAGCTTAGAAATAACAGGGCTCAATTCTTTTAGGACACACCAGTGTATGTCATATGGTCCTGGTGCTTTTTTATTATTTACGCAGTCTAATTGTTTTTAGATCATATCCATTTTAAGCCAATGTAGTTTACTTGAGATTGTGTTAAGCAGAATTAAGCCCAGTGATTTAAGTGACATTCCACCAACTTTTTAAGCCCTCAAATGGTATCATACTGTAGGTGGTCACATGTGCAGCACCATGACAACTGCAGATCTAAATATAGGATAAGATGGTGCTCTCTTCAGCTGTAAAGGATAGAATAGTTTAATTGTAATTTAATACCATCCTCATTTTGTTAATCAGCCACATGGAAATACATTTTGCAACCTGTCTACATTTTGAAACATACCCATTTCTGTGCTCTGTGCTTTCACAACATTTTTGCCTCCCAATCTTGGAGTTTTGGAGAGGGACCTTCGGGCATTGAAAAAATTGCACTTTAAAAAAAAAATGTTGTTCCATTATGTGCTTGTTGTTTATAACTTCAATTAAATGAAAATTTTATAGTCATTGCTTCCCAGATTTTGCTTTGTACCGGTATAACTATTTGTAATAAGCTCTGAGTTGTTAGTTCCATTTTTGGGTTCCATTTGTACACGACAGAATCTGTCAGCACACAAATATAGGAGCAGCAAATGCTGACTTTATTTTGACATTAAAAAATCCAGGACTGTCATCTTAACCATTGCTTTACTATTTAATGAGGAATGGACCTGAAATAGGTATGTGCATATCAGGTGTTGGGATGATTGATATGCACATGCTTGTTCCAGAAAAGTGGCCTGACCAGTAATGAGGGAAGAATCAGGCCCTGAAACTTGCAAATGCTAGCCCCCATATTTCTATCATGGCAGGTTCCTTTTAAAGTGTTGTTGAAGTATTAATAAACCCCAGATTATTCTCAACATTTGACTTCAATTCTGCCTGCTTCCTCAGGGCTGCTAGACCACTTCCCACAGTCTCTTCTTCCCTAGGCCCAGCAGTCTAAGGATCACTGAGATCACCCTGTCTAATGCAGGTTCAAAAGACCTGCATTAGTCATGAAGACGCTGAGGGACAATGCAAAGCTGGAGTGGAGGGGGAGAAAAGGACAGCGCTGACCACTGGGCAGGCTTGAATCAGGTAAGTACATCTGTTTTATTCCAGCCTTGTGGTGTATTTTCTTTGGCAGAAAATTAAGAGGGTTATTCACAAAGCTGCCGTGTGAATAACCAACCCGAAGTGAAATGAGCTGAACGCTGTTCGGCTATTCACTTCAGGCTTATACGGCTGATTTCAGCCATACACCGACTAAAATCAGCCGTACAGTGGCTTGCTGCGGCTGGCTTCGGGTTGGCCGAACATGTTCAGCATGTTCGACCGACCCGAAGTGCAGAAGGAGTTCGACTCAGCCGATCCAACATCTGGATCGGCTGAGCCGAACCTCTGGCAGGCTACTCGCTGCTGTTCGGTCTATTCTCATAGATGCCGAACAGCAGTGAGTGAATAGCCGAATGCCACCGAGCGGCATTCGGCTCGGCTATTCTGCTCGGTACCTCTGTGGTACCAAGCAGAATAGAAAACCAGTTAAAAAAGTAGAACAAAATATAGAAAACGATTGGGCGGAGCTTGCAGTGACAGCTAGCTCCACCCAACTGTTTTGTATTGGCCGGGACCAGCTGTCATTACAATGAGAGCTTAGCGAAGCCGGCAATGATATCAAAGCCGGCTCTGCTAAGCTCTCATCGTAATGACAGATCAGCGTCCCCTGGTTACCAAGTAACCAGGGGACGCTGTTCTGTCATTACGATGAGAGCTTAGCAGGGCCGGCTTTAATATCACCGCCGACTTCGCTAAGCTCTCCTGACAGTTCAATTTCCCCTGGTTACTAGGTAACAAGGGGACGCTGAACTGTCATTACTCACTGAAAACCCGGCAGAGCCGTCGTGATATCACGGCGGCTCTGCCAAGTTCTCATTGTAATGACAGATCAGCGTCCCCTGGTTACCACGTAACCAGGGGATAGCTGATCTGTTATTGCAAGTAGCGGGGGCCAGCCGTGAAATAATGGCTTGCTCCGCCTAGCTGTCAGTAGCAGGCTTACAGCCGGCCAATGGCCGGTTGTTTGGCCAGCTTCGGATCTCACCTCGGCTCAGTCGAGCCGAAGCACATGCCTTCGGCTCAACTGAGCTGCTCGGCCAACTTCGGGAGCTGTACGGGCTATAGTGAATAGCCCGTACAGCAGCCCTTCGGTTCTACTGAACTGAAGGGGTCCTGGGGCCAAAGCTACCCGAAAGATCAGCCGAAGCTATGGCTAGATCCTTCGGCAGCTTTGTGAATAACCCTCTAAGTTTTACACAGTCAGAGCTGAACACATTCACTTTAAGTGGGTATAAAGAAAGACACAACAGGCATATAGGGGAAAAGGAGGTGATGGAAAAAAAAACTGAGAGAAAAATGAAGGGGTTATAGTAGTTGGATGGGGAGGACAGAAAACATAAAGGTTAGCTCAGCTGGATGGTATAACAGAGGCAATAGAGAGAGAGTGGGCACAGAATCTGTACTGGATTGGAGGAACTAAGTACAATAGGTGGTGGGGCCTATAGAGAATGAACAGTTAGACCAAACCTGGACCAATTCCTGAGAAGCCAGAGAGGTGAGCTGGTTGGGCATTACCCTCTCACAGCTGTCTATCCCAGTCTTGGTGCCATTAGAAGGAGAAGATATAGGTTATGTTGGTATACTGCACATATGTCTAGCAGCTGCCATTTTCACTTTTGTTGCAAATCTTCGGCTGCCTTTTGCTCTAGATATCTCGTGTGTACCATAGTATCAAGTGAGGTATTGACTGCATAAGCCTGCTTTTATGGATTTATATTTATGTATGCTGTAGTCTCAGTTTCAGTACTGGCTACGGCTAGACCCTTAGGCAGCTTAGTGAATAGACCCCTTAGTATCAAATCCCCATGTAAATAAAAAATGAACCCTTTAGTGCCCCCTAGTTTAAAACATTTTTTTTTTACATTTTGAAAATTTTGAAAAATTATTAAAAAGGGAAAAAGTAAAAAAAGTTAAACAAAATGTTGAATAAAAAAATTATAAGAAAATATAGTGCAGAGACGGCTATTAAAGTTAGGAAACAATCATACCACATTTTAAAATTGTTCCACTCTAAAATTGTATTTCACTCATTGTATTTTGTGACCTATAACTTCCAGAATAAACTGAAATCCCAGACATATGATATACCATATCAATCAGGACAAATAAAATAATTTATTATGAATTACTTTCTTTTAGCTACACTAATTAATTCGGCTGCCTTTTGCTCTAGATATCTCATGTGTACCATAGTATCGAGTGAGGTATTCACTGCATAAGCCTGCTTTTATGGATTTTTATTTATGTATGCTGTAGTCTCAGTTTCAGTACTGACGGACTGGGACTGCACAACAACCTTTCATACAGTGTGTAACTTTCACATGAATTTAGAAATGTATGCAATTAAGCTCTACCTTTTTATTGTAATGGAAACACAAAGAAAGAAGTGAATTTAAATGATCTAATCTATGATGATGATTGTTTGCTAGATTAGAACATGCATGAACTTTACAGCAAGAGTAATGAGTCATTGAATTTGTTGTACAGTACTGTAGTTTATCCCCCAGAACTGTATTAACTGGATAGTACCATTTGGGGGACAACAGAACTTGATGTGCTTTTTTCTATTACCTAGTAAGGCACCTTTAAAAATGTACAGTATGCTACTATATGTGTATGTGAAAAACTTTAACAGATTATCTTCACATACTACAGTGACTAATCCTCCCACATAACATAACTAAAGGCTCACTAAGTTGACTAAGTTCATCAGTCAATGGGCATGAGTAAGTCATATAATTTCAAATAGGAGACATTGGTTGATTTATTAAAGTCAAATAGGCTGTTCACTTTGCAGGGGAAATTTTATTTTTCAGGAGAATTTTCCCTAAGTTTTGTGAATGTGGTGAAATACCCAATCACGTGCAAGGAAAAGAAAAAAACATTTATTTTTGCTTGCACACAATTTGATGATGGAAGTAAGCAAAGCTTCACCTTATTTATTAAACTAAGGGAGTATTTCCTTGCAAACTGAACAGCCTATTTGACTAAGGTAAATCAACCCCACAGAGTAAGAAAAGAGGCTGGAGATTGTTATTTCAAATGTATGCAATCCCAGCTTGTACGTAGATTGAGATGTGTCTGCAATTTATAGCTATTTGTATTGTAGGACTGATAGATAGATAGATAGATAGATAGATAGATAGCTGTAGTTTCCGAAGCCTGTTCAGGAAATATACTCCACCTCACAGATTGCAAGCTCTCATGAGCAGGGTACTCCTAGCCCTGTTGTGTCAAAGTGTATTGTAACTGTACTGTCTCCCTTTATTTTATAAAGTGCTAAGCAAACTGTTGACACTATATAAATCCTGTATAATAATTAGGTAACTTTCTATCTCTGTGCTTCCACCAATCACATTCAAACTTTCAAAGCATATTTGAATCTGATTGGTGAATGTGAGAAAGTTTTTCTTATTTTTTGTTTTACAAAATGCTGTCTGTGTGTGAGAGGCAATAAGGAATGTGCCCCAGCTATTTTGTCTATACCTTTAAATGGTGAATTGCGTACAGTTTCCAGCACCATACTATGGGCTTGACTTACTATAGGCAAATAGGCTGCTCACTTTGCAAGGGAAAGTTTTCCCTTGGCTTAGTGAATGAGGTGAAGCTCTGCTGACTTTCATAAGCCAGTCATTAGTAAGGAAAAATACTTTTTTTTTTTTTTAAATGTTTGCACATGATTGGTTATTCTTTGAAATTTCACCACATTCACCAAGCTAAATAGAAACTTCCCCTCAAAGTGCAAATTCCCTTGAAAAGTGAGCAGCCTTTAGTAAATCAACCCCTTTAACCTCCCTGGCGGTATTCCAGAGTGTGGCTCAGGGTTACATTTCCTGACCAGGAGCGGTAACTCCGAGCCACAATCAGGAATACCCTGAATTCACTCTCCCCCCGTCCCTTGATCCCCGCGGTGTCCGCTCATCTTCTTCGCCCGATGCCGGCATCCTTCTCCAGCGTACGCTAGCATCAGCGTCACAGGGGGGGCGGATCCCGTGGGAAATTTTCCAGAAGCAGAATGTGGGAACCAGTGATCAGAGATGACATCTGGAAGTTTCTGGGCCTAATAATTCTTCAGGGAGTGGTGGGGAAACCCTGCAGAAGTGGTTTTGGACAACCAATAAAATACTTGCCACTCCATTCTTTGGCACCGTCATGTCGGAGTATAGGTTAACCCTCATCATTAAGTTTGTACACTTCACAAACAATGAAGAATTCGATGAAACCACTCATCCTGCACCAAAACTGAAAAAAATGTGGAAGGTATCCCAAATTATTGTGAGGAATTTCCAACAACGCTATGTGCCAGAAAGAGACATCACCGTAGATGAAAGTCTAATGGCCTACAAGGGAAGGCTCAGCTGGGTTCAATATATAGCATCAAAGAGAGCACGATTTGGCATCAAAACCTATATGCTATGTGAATCATCAACTGGCTACATTTGGAACTCCGTGATATACACTGGAAAAGGAACCAAATTCGATCCCAAATACAGCAGCTATGGAACGGCAACATCTTCCGTTCTTTCTCTCATTGAGCCATTGACATGCCGCCAGTGTTTGGCAATAAGAAGCTGAAGGCTGGAGAAATGGTTGCCTGGCAGAAAGGCAAAATGATGGCACTGCGATGGCGCGAGAAAAAATATGTGTGCCTAATGAGTACAGTGCATAACGCCTCCACTGCTATGGTACGCACGAAAGGTAGGAGAGACGTCATGAAGCCACAAGTATTAATAGACTATAGTAACACCATGGGAGGTGTCGACAGAGCCGACCAAGCCATAACATTCTAACCAGCAATGCGGAAACAGCAGAAGAAGTATTACAAGAAGATCTTCAGGCATCTTCTTGAGCAGTGCTTGTAGAATGCCTATGTTCTGCTCAAAAAAGTGACAAGCCTGTGACGCATTCGGACTTAATTTGGAAAATTTCCGAACAAATCTCTTTGAACAACCAAACGCCATCAATAAATAGATCTGGACGTCGTGCTGTTGGCGTTGTCAACCCAGAACGCCTGACTGGTCGTCACTTCATGGACCACATCCCGCCAGAAAAAGTTAACACCTACAAGGATGTGCATGGTTTGTTGCTCAAAGCGCGATGACAGTGGCAAAAAAATCAGAAAAGAAACCAGGTTCCATTGTTCTGATTGTGACGTCGGACTTTGTGCTGTCCCATGTTTCAAAGTTTATCATACCCGGGATGTTTACTAAAGTAATATTGCACTCTTGTTTGGCAAGATGTCAGTGTTTTTGGTTTGAATACATTATTTAATTAAATTTATTATTATTATATTATTGTTTTGTGTAATTATTTCTAATTATTTGTTATATTATAATTTATGATTTCGTGTTTCAAGCTTTATCATACCCGGGATGTCTACTGGACTCTTGTTTGGACACATTTAGGTGAGTTATTCCTAAGATTTACTAAGAATTACAGGCCTACAATATAAAACAACACATTTCCATGAAAAACAATGTACCACTTTGGCATGCTAAAATCCTGTATAATCATACCGCCAGGGAGGTTAAGTAAATCCAGGGACCAGGATCCATAATCATTGTCTCTTACTCACACAGAGTCACAGTAAATAAGTTGAAGTGGAACAGAATAAAGGGGCTAATGGGACCCAGATGGAGCCCACACTGGCTGACAGGTAAGCAGTCTAGCAGTACATAGGAAAGTTTTAGAACAGAAGAGGATAACGACCAGCAGATCTAATGTTGTTGTTTGGCTTTAGTTCCACATTAACCTGAAGAGAAATTACAATACAATTTATGTAATATTTACTTTTTGACTATTTCTCAGTAATGTCAACTTCCATATGATCTCCTGAACTTCTTTGTTCCTCAGGCAGTATATTATTGGATTCAGTAAGGGGGTTATAACTGTGTAGATAACAGATACAAGTTTGTTGGAATCCACTGATCTAGCCCTGCTTGGCCTGGCATACATAAAGAGAGTGGCCCCATAGAATATAACCACCACAACCAAATGTGAAGCACAAGTAGAGAATGCCTTTTTACGACCAGTGGAGGTTGGGATGGATAGAATGGTGCCCAGAATATGGCTGTAAGATATACAAGTTAGCAACAAAGAAACTAGAAGAATTAACAAGGCAAGTATAAAGTCAACAAGCTCAGCCAACCTCCTGTCTGTGCAGGCAAGATTAAGTATAGGAGATATATCACAGTAAAAGTGATTTATAACATCAGAGTGACAAAAAGTTACATGGGAAATGTAGTAAACTTTGATGAATGACATGATGAAACCTATAAACCAGGAGCCCAAGGCAAGAAAAATACAGGAATTCCAGTTCATGGTGGTGATATAATGCAAGGGACTACAAATGGCCACATAACGGTCATAGGCCATAACAGTCAGTAAAACACACTCTGTGCACACCAAAGCAATAAAGAAATAGAGTTGTGTCATACAAGCAGTAACTGAAATTGTTTTACTATTAACAAGGAATATTGCAAGAAGCTGGGGCACCGTGACGGTTACATACCATGCTTCTAAAAAGGCCAGGTGCCCAAGAAAGAAATACATTGGCTTATGTAGCTTAGAAGTGGTCCAGATAACAATTATAATAAGCAGGTTTTCTACAATGGTTAAAAGATAGGTAAAGAAAAAAATGAAGAAAAGAAGGCTCTGAACTGGCCGAGAAGTAGGGAATCCTAGGAGAGTAAATGTTGTGATACTTCTGCTGATATTTGAGTAGTCTTCCATTATCCATTCCTGTAAATTGAATGTCAACATATCACTGATTAACTCAACAATTTGGAGATGTCAGACTCCTTAATTATGTGAAAACCAGACAGTTACACACATGATAATGGAGTACAGATGATACATTATTGAAGCCAGTTGTAGATCTGGCTATAAATATCTTAGTATGGCAAAATATGCAAACATAAGCTTGCTGTCTTTGTCTGTGAAAAGATTTGAAAAAACAAATCAAGTGACTGCCATCTCTGTCTGTGGACACTTTTAGCTGTTGTAAACATTACTATATACAGATAGTGTTTTGGACCATTATAAACACTATAAGGAAATCTAAAGTACCTGTAAACAAGAGATAAATGCCAAATTTGACCAAACAATCTGGTTTTGCTGAGCATTCTGGATTTTTTTAAAAAGAGAGTTTCCCCTTGTGACTGCCTTTCTTTAACTGAATAACTCTATGGTCTGAGCAGAGCAGGTAATTGGGGAGAAAGGTGACTCATTTAGGTGTTTTGCGTTGTTTGAGCTCTGTTAACATAGGCAATGCTTCATCAACCATGCTCCACAAATCAAAACCTTAGAAATGTGGTATAACCAGGGTTCAATTTTTTTTTAAATATAGTTTTTTTGGAAAAGCAGTGACTTCTTCCACCAACATCTGCACTAGTGATTATTACTCCATTGGATTGATAAACTGAAAAGTAGAGCATTTATCCATTTTGCCGCATTAGCTTAGTACTTGGGTGATGACAGATAGCACTTACCTTGTAATAATATAATTAAAGTTATTTTTAATATGTCTGTGTAACAATGAAATTCTGATCTGATCTGATCTATGTTATGCTTAAGAATTTGTTCTTAAATTTGAATGCAGCAAGATTTCAAAAATTTTTCTCTAGAATAGTATCAAATGAACTATTATAAATTACCTTTTTTTCCAGTGAGGAAGATTACACAAAATAAACATATATATTTAATCATCAGCTATTTTTTCTCGGCAAACACAGAGTGTCATAATTGCTACAGTAATGGGAAATATAACCGCACTTTTAATATCATGGCTAGGACACAAGGTATAATAGGTAAAACTAATTACACATTTATTTATCCTCTCCTTCTCAAGCTGACAGTTTCAGGTCATTGGTTATTGGTTGCAAGTTATCTAGTTAAGGAAGTTTGTCTTCTGCCCTGTGGAATAAGATCTGGTCAGTTGCCAGGAATTTTGTTATGAGTTTTAAAACATTATAAAAATTATTGCAATTAGAATATAATACAATTCGGTGACAATTATATATAGTTACACAATTGTAAAGAGCAGTTGTCATGATGTTACCTGCACATTATAGTTGTCATGATGTTACCTGCACATTATAGCTGCCATAATATTCACATTAGAAGACTCTGTAGATTCACTAAAAACCAGTGCAAAGCTAGGACAATGTCAACAAGATTGTTTTTGCTGCATTTCACAAAGTAGGCAAAATGCATTGACAATCAAGAGTGCATTTCTTTTGATTGTTCACAGTTTCACCAAGCAGCCAGTTATGAGAATATGCTCTATGTAAAGTGTATATCCACCTTTGCAGCCACATTGGGATAATACCTACCTTATATTTGTTATGTGTTCCCAATCACATAGCATACGTTTAAAAAAATATTGAAAAATTGCCCTTTACTTGTTCTTTTCCAGAAACCCCCACACTGAAACTTTCTACTTAGCTCTCCTGTTGCATGTAATGTTTATGAGGAGGCGGGGGAAGTATGTGTATTAACCCTGTCTGTTCTATGCTGGCAGATTTTCATTATTAGTAGTACACTAGATATGTACACTGTCTGACCTACAATAGGGTTAAACATATCAGGGCTTGCGTTCTGCATTGTATGTTAATGCACTTTTAGTCCAATCTGTCCTTTAAGTGCCCCTAGCAAGTTATTCTGAACAATGCAAGCTGCCTAAAGAGTTCTCTGAATAATCCTGCTCCAATAAACAATTAAATAGGTAAGCTATACTTTAAAAAAATATATTTTTAGGCATGCTGTATGAAAGGAAACACAAAAAACATATGGTAGGGTTTCCCAAATTTGTTGGCAAAGGTGGAATACATTTTAGGGCTTGTTCATACCAGGGGCTCATTCTTCCGCACTGCATGGTGAAGTAAGTTCCTCTAATACATTATAATGACGCATTGCACCATTTACTTTTTCTCTTTTTTTACTTTATTGAAATGCCACAAAATGACATGTCAGGCATGTTTATGCGTTGCAATGCCATGTACTGCATCACAACATACTGTGCTGACATAAAGTACAGCGCTCCCTACTTTATATCAGTGCACACCACTGCAGTACAGTGGTGTAAACTAATCTCATAGGACCTAAGTCAAATTGTTGTGTCTTTGCATTGGGACTGCATTGAGACGCCCAACTCAAACCAACAGCTATGGTATAAATGGGCCCTTATTTGTATTGATTTTGGCACCCAAATCAATACACAAACACCTCATCAATGCAGCACGCACGATCATCCCCCGCAAGTACAAAAGCAGAGCAAGTACAAAAGGAGAAGGCGTAGGCAGTCCAGTGAAGCAATCCGAGGTCAAGGGTATAGGCAAACAAGAATGGTCAAACGTTCCGAGGTCAAAGGCAGGCTGCAGGCAAACAAGGTCAAAGTCAATCCGGGTCGATAATCAAGGGTACTGGAAACAAGGATCAGGAGACGTCAGGGCGGTTGAAGAGACAATCCAGCAATGAGTAGGTGTGGAGTCTGGGTTTAAATAGTGAAGGAAATGATTTGGAGAGCATCACTTCCTGTGAGCCTTTTGGAGAGTGTCACTTCCTGTGAGCCTTTTGGAGAGCATCACTTCCTGTGAGTCTTTTGGAGAGCATCACTTCCTGTGAGCCTTTTGGAGAGTGTCACTTCCTGTGAGCCTTTTGGAGAGCATTCTTCCGCAGACAGTTCATGCGCACAGGCGCGAGGTGTTGACCTCGGATATCAAGATTTACAAGACCCTGCTGCAAAACCAAGGAGTGGCCTGCACGGTGGAACCACCTCTGGCCCTCCTGCCACTCACTGTCTATAAGGACTCTGTCCCCAATACCAGAGTCCCTAGGACACGAGCTGCAAGGGAAGCCTCCTCCTACATCCAGTCTCCGCACAGGTACGTGATAGCCACTGAGCCGAAGTGAAAGCCGAAGCTGGCCGAATGGCCAGCCATTGGCCGGCCGACAGCCTGCTTCTGACAGCTGGGCGGAGCCAGCAGTCATCTCACGGCTGGCTCCGGCCACTAGCAGAGAGATCAGCGTCCCTGATTACCGGGCCATCTGTCATTACACACTGAGAACCCGGCGGGGCCGCTATGCTATCACAATCATTACTTTCCCAGACGCTCTGGGAGTCTAATACGGCTCCTGGCCGCCAGCAGTCAGAAAAAAAGCCAGCATAGGAATGCTTAGCTAGATTTCTATTGGCTATTTCACTTTGCAATAGCCAATAGCAAACTAGCTAATGCACCCGCCCACTGCTGCTGTCAATCAGCAGAGGGGGACCTGCAGTTCTCCATCAGTGAAATAGCCAATAGGAATCTAGCTATGCATTCCTATGGTGGTTTTTTTTGTTATTCTGACGGCAGCAGAACTGCCCAGCCAATAGCAAACAGTTGGGCGGAGCTAGCTGTCACTGCTGGCTCTGCCCAATCGTTTTCTATTTTATTTTTTCTACTTTTTTTAATGAAAACTGTTTTTCTATTCTGCTTGGTACCACAGAGCTGAGCCGAATGCCGCCGAGCTATTCACTCACTGCTGTTCGGCATCTATGAGAATAGGCCGAACAGCAGCGAGTAGCCTGCCGGAGGTTCTGCTCAGCCGATCCAGATGTTGGATCGGCTGAGTCGAACTCCTTCTGCACTTCGGGTCGACCGAACATGCTGAACATGTTTGGCTGACCCGAAGCCAGCCACAGCAAGCCAATGTATGGCTGATTTTAGTCCGTGTACGGCTGAAATCAGCCGTACAAATCTGAAGTGAATAGCCGAACTGCGTTCGGCTCACTTCACTTCGGGTCGGTTATTCGCTCGGCAGCTTTGTGAATAGACCGCTAAGTATTCTGAGGAGATACTGTATTCTCCTCAGAGATGCTTTATATCACTTTTGTAATACACTGAGTTGTGGAGCTCTAAGCTGCCTACCATAGTGCGTTTTAACTGCGTTTACCTACCATAGTGATCACAGTGCTGGGACCCCTAATTTTCTGTCGAGGGTCTGCCTAGAACACTGAAGGACCCAGCAACAGCAATAACTCATTGAGCACTGGTCCCTCCACGGACCAGCGCTCATTGTACTACATGGCGGGATTATTCCGCCACCAGTCTTTAATGAACTGAATCCCATCATCGGTAGTGATGGCCTGAACACATCTGAGTTTGGTTCAAGTTCGAACTTTAGAACAGGGAAAAAGTTCTTACAAGAACTTAGAACTCAATGAAAGTCTATGGGACAAGAACTCAAGTGTAATCATAGCAGATTACATTGTATTGTGTGTATTCCGTGTAAATTGCATGTTTTCACTTTTGAATTTCCCGCTGGCTGTGACGCCCGAAAACGAAACTAAAAGTCAGATGCCGGCATCGGCCAGCCGCGTACAGCAGAGGACACCGCGGGCTCGCAGGGACAAGGTAAGTTTCACTTTTCTCTGCAGTCCCGAGTCTGGCTCGGGGTTACCGCTCCTAGTATTGAAAATTAACCCCGAGCCAGACTCGGGAAAACCGCCAGGGAGGTTAAGACAGATATCAGAGTGTGGTTGTAAATGAAGTTCAATCATCACAGAAACCAGTCTCTAGTGGTGTACTGCAAGGCTGTACCACAACAAGGTTGATATTCCTGGAGGTGTTTGAAACATGGAACTTGATTTAGCATTGCTGGAAGATTGGTCAAAGCAGTGGAAAACTTCTACAAAGAGTTCAACATTTCTAAATGTAAAATAATACATAGGGGAAAAGATTACCCCTAACAGAGTATAATATTGGGGGTACAGCATTGGCTAGAACTACAGAGGAAGAAGATGTGGGGGTGCGTGTTACAAACAGTGTGGCCTGACAGTGGGGAAAGGAATTAAATTCTGGGGTGCATCACTAGAGGGATCACCAGCAGGAGGAAGGGGATCCTAGTTGCACTAGATAGATCTTTAAACCTCGTTTAGAATATTGTGTACAGTTCTGAAGACCTCCCTTACAATAAGATGTTGATAAGCTAGAAGGATTCCAGAGACAGGCAACAAAAATTGTGACAGCTCTGAGAGAAAAAACATATCAGGGGAGACTGCAGGAACTTAATATGTACAGTCTTGAGAAAAGAAGACAAAGTCAAACATGACTAAAGCCTATATTATAGTTTTATTTTACTATAGGAGTAATGGTGCTTGGAACAGACTTCAAGCAGAGGTAGTAAGTCAGCCAACAGTAACTACAATAAATTTTAGCTTGGTTGGGACAACATAAATCTATACTCAAAAAGGTAAAAAAAAAAAAATCCCCGCCGCCTCTGACAAGCTCTAATTCTAATGACAGCTGGTCCCGGCCAATAGAAAACAGTTGGGCAGAGCTAGCTGTCACTGCTGGTTCCGCCCAATCGTTTTCTGTATTTGTTTTTTCTACTTTTTTAACTGTTTTTCTATTCTGCTTGGTACCACAGAGGTACCAAGCAGAATAGCCAAGCTGAATGCCGCTCAGCGGCATGCGGCTATTCACTCACTGCTGTTCGTCATCTATGAGAATAGGCCTAACAGCAGCGAGTAGCCTGCCGGAGGTTCGGCTCAGCCGATCCGGGTGTTGGATCGGCTGAGTCGAACTCCTTCTGCACTTCGGGTCGGCCGAACATGCTGAGCATGTTTGGCCAACACGAAGCCACCCGATGTACGGCTGATTTCAGCCGATATACGGCTGATATCAGCCGTACAAGCCTGAAGTGAATAGCCGAACAGTGTTCGGCTCACTTCACTTTGGGTCGGTTGTTCACTCGGCTTCCTACGGCAGCTTTGTGAATAGACCCCTTAGTTTATACAGATAAAATATACCTTGTTTTATTGGAAAGACCAATTGGACCTTCATTTGGTGGCAAATGTTAATGAATATCTTATGAAAATGATTTATTATCAAAGGAAAACTGACCCAAAATAAAAAACAAATATATATTTTTTTTATAATTTAGCTGTATATTTGATGCTATTATCATGATCCACCACAAAAAAAATAAAATTATCTGACACCTGACGTGCACAGGGATACCACATATATGTACATTATTTGCTGTTTGTACCCTTAGCACATATTATTTTTTATCCTAACTAAATACACTGACACTTAACTGCAACAGATAAATATCAGGTGCCCTGCTCTGTTAGAGAGAGGGCTGTGTTGTGTTTTAGAGCTGTGTAAAAGGCAGGACTGGATGGACAGAAATAAAATTACCTTGGCAAGTAAAATAGACCCTTTGTATGTATTTCATCTGTGTATTTATCTGTTTCACTGGACACTAGATGTGCTTATAAAATCTATACAACATGTGTAAAAATGCATAGAAAATGTATGACAATGACAGCACATATACATATAAACTAGAATTTGAAATTGATTAAAATAAATTAGGGTTTAGCTCTGAGACTGGAGATTGCTCCAATGTGGGCAGCAATAAAAAAAACATATGTTTTATAAACTGGGGAAGGGTTTGATTTTCTATTAGGTTTAGCGCTGTCTGCATTCCTATTGGGAAAGAGTGGTCTTCACACTGGAAGTGGGAGGAAATTTTTACAGTGTAGACCCAAAAAGCAATAAAAATTAAACCTTTCATTTACACTTAGGGGTTGATTTACTAACCTTATAAACACACCACAAACATGTATACACCTCTGTAGTGTGTTCCCTCCCAGCATGATCTATGGGTGGAATCTAAACACCTTTGTAGTGTGTACACGCCCAGCAGGTGTGTTGTGCAAAGCCCTGCCCTGAATTGCAAGGTGATGTTGTGTAAATTAGCTCTACATTGTGTTGCTTGCGTTGATGAATGCAGGAATGTAAATGCATGAGCTAACCATTTTTGTCTAAACTGTGAAGCAGCATTATATATGCATCATGTGCATGATTTTTCCATATATGGCATTAGTGGAAACATGCTTATAGAGACTTTTTGATTGATAAATACGCTTTGCTGTGTAAAAATCACACGCACCTGGTGCGTGCGTGTGTTTAGGTTAGTAAATCACCCCCTTTGAATCAACAGTTTGTTCTATCTCTCAGGATATCTATTGGAAATGACTATTCAAGGCCTAAACACCTACCCTGGCAAAAACAAGTGGTTAAAAGAAACATAATAATAAACATTAACAATTGAATAGGATGTAGAACAATTATAATAAAAAGTCTAATTGTTATTCTGTTTTCAGACCCAAAAATTTCACAATACCCTAAAATCTGATCTAAAAGTTATTTCTCATGTATAACCATTAAATCCAGTTTACTGCTCTTTTAGGACACAGTACAGTCTTCAACACAAGAAACCTAAAAAGTGTGATGTTATAGTTAGATCAAAGCTGAAATCATTTGATTTGTGTTCGCCTATTATTTCTTCAAGTCTACAAGAGTTCAAACTAGCATATATTATATTACAAGGACTTTTTATATTGAAGGTCAACAACCGGAAATCACATATACAAATTCTCGCAGTGACATCGAAATCCTTCTCCTTAAATGATTATATGATGGCCAATTTTTAACAACTGTGCAATGTGTGCAACTGATGTAAATAAATATACCCTTATGTTGGCAAAGTAGCCCTTGTCATACATGAATTTTATGACAAATATTAGCCTTTGGTAGATTAACCCTATTTTCTTTGCCATTTTCAATGCCAATATTTGTGGATTCAGCAATGCTGGAATGTATCTCAGATGTTACAAAATCGCTGCGCTAGGAGTAAAAAATAAAACAATCAATCCTATTAGACCAGCTGCAACACTGTGTGTCAGTGAAACCGTGATAAATGCAATTATGTTGCGCTAGGTCCTGTGTAGCAATCTGTTAGTCAACCTCTGTGTGTCTTATACATTGTATACCGACATCATTAAACTCAGTCGGTTTCAAAGCAATGCATATCTATAGATATATAAAGTGAACTAATTTCATCTTTATCAGATATGTGAAAAGGATTAGTTTCCTTATTGTGTATGCAAAAAAATCTGTGATTCTGGGACAAAAATACAAAATACTGTGTAGTGATAATTAATAGAAACACCTCATAAATGATTAAACACCAATAGTCCTACATCATGTAGTATTGCAGTTAAGCAAATAAACTAAAAAGTCTCTCCTAGAGAAAATTATGGTACTAATGGATATAGTATCTGGATATCTTTTAACCAAACTCGACATATGTTGTATGTCCATAAAGTGTTATATGGTTACTTCCCTTTCCTCAGAGGCATCAGGAAAAAAAGGGGGGGGGGGGGTTTTTTGTATATTCTCAA